AAAAGTAGGACGTAAAACCCCATTTATTCAGTAAAATTGTGCTAATCACTGAATTATTTACATGCCTCAAACTACAAAAAATTAGTAAGACTATGATTGTAAGGCTGAAAACATTGGTTGGAAAAACGCTCATATTATAATGAAAACCTTGTCTGTCAGTTCGCATTTTTATCCAATTTTGATGAAACTTGATATGGATGTATATATTGATGAGATCTCAGTTAATTTAGAAATCGATGATAATTGGATGAAAGGTTTCAGAGTCATTGCTGTTGTGTGTACAATGATGGGACTTTGTTCATGATAGAATTTGATTATAATTTGGATGAACTGTTTGTGAGGTTTTGCCTTGACTTTAAAATATTTTAAAAATTATTTGAAAATTCATTATAGAATCACCAACGACTTAGTTCTGACAGCTGGTAGTGGGCCTATGTTATCTTGCCTGGCAAGCTATCTTTGTAAATGTGACAGTTATGATCGGTTTTGGACAATTTAATTGATAAGATCGTCGTGTTGTACTTCGTACTTGTATACATGTATTTGTTTTGCAGGTATTGGATACACTGAGAAATAGCTCATATGGGAGGTCATGTTATTATTGCTTGTAGAAATATGGGTAAAGCTGATGCGGTAAGATTATTGATTTAATTTAAACTTTCAAATTCATTTATAAATGAAAAACGTAAACACCCATACTTATACCGCTATTTGAAGCGAGTTTGATTTAGATGATTTAGTCTTTTGTTCAGACCAGTGGTGGAGCCAAAGGGGGGCGTGGGGGCAGAGGGTACAGCCGCCCCCCTCGCAGCCTTTTCCAAAAGCAAGTTTTTCGGGCAAAAATCTCATAAATAGGTTAGAGATTCGGACGTAAACCTAGCTCCGCCACTTGTTCAGACGACTAAAGTTAAGGCATTTTAACTATCAACCGTTTTTCGAGTCCGACAGGTTAAACTTAAGCTGCCTTAACTTGCTGTAGGATATTTTGACCTCCTATAGACCACTTTACGGATAGAGCGCGTCTGGTTGTTCGTGCATAAAATTGCGTTGCATTGTGGGATAGTAAGCGAGAGTAAACATGTAAACAGAAATGGAATAGAATAATGAGCGATAAGAAAGACGTAGCTGTGTTGAAGTGAGATGAATTGGGCGTTTTTCTTAAACACCAGTATAAATAAGGAAGATAGACATGTGCTAGCATCTATTGCCTAGAGCAGAAATATTCCGCTTAAAACTCCTCTTGAAGATGATCTCCTGAAAGTGATAGAAGAAAGAAAGAGTAAATTTATTTTGGAAGATGGTTTGATTAAGCTTCCCGATCCTGTAAAAATATTAGCTGGGTGGGAGAAAAACTACATAAATTTTCCGAATACATCAGTCTCAGATGTAGAAGATTATATAAAACTGTGTAAGTATTTATTACTATAGTAGGCCTACTGATATCAGACTCTGGAGACTGAGCCTAATTTCACAACCTTAAACAGATAGATTTTATTATTATTTGATTATTATGTTTGTATCATGATTCTATTCATTCTAGTCAAGTAGAATAGACTTCACAATTATTTATGTTTAAGTTAAAACAAAATATATGAACTGGCAATTAACAAAACGTGTGTTGCTCCAAAGAGCACTCATGTGAGTTACAAGATGCCTACAGTAACTGACAGTGTTTTGCTTACCGTACCTGATTAACATGATTGGGGACTGGGGTATTAAGCAATCAATCACTTCGGTAGATTGATTCACCTCGTATAAATAGGTCCTGCCTCTTGGCTTGTCTTGTGTGCAAACATAAATAAAGAACAAAGCAGGTGTGTCTAGTTTACACTCATGCAAGTTCATGATTTGTTTCCTCAATAAACTACTCTAAGATGTATTATACATGTATACACTAATCAACATGCATATGGCCTATGTAGAATAATACAAAGAGTTTACGGACAATTTACGAGGCTTAGCTGTCATAGTAACTTATTGCAATCATACCATACTATCTCACACTAGTCCTGATTCGTAATATCAAATCACCAAGTTGCTGTCTCCCTTACTTTTTGTACTCCTCGCAAATTGCCCGTAAACTCTGAGTAATATACTCATATAGGCCATATATTTCGATTACTGTATGTCTTTAATGGGCCTCCGTACAAAAAGTAAGGGAAACGGCAATTTGGTGATTTGATATTTCGAATAATGACAAGTGTGAGATAGTATGGTATGAATTTCAAAAAGTATGGTATGAATTTGCATGAAGGTGCTTTGTTTTAAAGACTGTGCACGTTATAGATTCCTCTACAGTTGGTAATCGCAAAAATTAGTTCAAGCTTCTGCAAAATTTTCCTCATTGCACACTGCATGACCTTCAAGGTCATAAAAACTTTCATCCTCCATAGAAGCTGTCATCTTCAAAATCACAGGGCTATGTCCCCAATATCTAGATGTATTGGATTGAACCAAGTCCGAGGAGACTGTACTGACCGTTACCAAGAATAAGGTAGCCTGACTTTGAAGGAACACAGAGACCGTCTTTCCAAAATCTATCTGTGGCCTTTGAAATAGCTTATGGAGATTTCGAATTATGGTGGTCGATGGCTTAAAAGATGTGGTACCAGTGACTGATTATTTTAAATCATGTACTGTGACCATTGAAATATAGATAAACAAAACAAATTATTTCGATTACTTTTTATTTTTTGATGTCAATTGGCTGGAATAAATGTTTTAAGACACTTTAAATGTAGCTATTTTCAATATAATGATATGATTTTACTAAATATATTATTTCAACATATTAATATATTATCATAGAACTAAATTAAAGGGATTGTAAACAGGTTTATTAAAATATTTATGTGTGACACAGATCAATATACTCCACACCGCATCAATTTTTAATCGTCTGACATTCCTGCAATTCCACTAAAACTTAGTGTTTGATGTGAAGGACCTTATATTTGTTAAAGCATATTTTGTTATTAGTGACGTCATCAAACACCTAGTTTTAGTGGTACTGCAGGAACCACCGATGTCAGATCGAAAATTGGGAAGATGCACATTGATTCTTTTAGTGTCCCTGATACACATACATTCTTTACATTCAAATTTAAGGCTCTAAGAATTCTTTATTACAGGTTTTACTATAGAGGGTCAAAGGGGCCACAGGCTCGTATATGAGATACAGGGGGAGATTTTACCATTTTAAGATGCTTTGGAGTCATTTTATAGATATAGAACTCTTTTCATCCCTTAAACCAAATTTTATGTGGTTTTATTCGAAAATAAAAAAAATACCACAGGCTAGAAAAAAAAAGGAAGTCTGGGATCACTGTATGATACTTACAATATTCATGCCATAATCTTGTGAATTTTTTTAGAATTTCCAACCACCTACGAGCACAAGAAAGAAAATTTGAATGGCTACAAGTCATTTAATGGCTAGATAACCTCTTTAGCTGCAAGGATATAAGAAATTACGTTGGGAAAAAGAGAACACTATTTAGTTGATATGTATGAATGGACAGAATGATATAGACTTGTGTTGATTAAATATAATATAATATGTACAATTATATAAAATATATTATAAACAATAACTTCTATATATACACATCTATATCTCATGAAATATTATATAAAATAAGCATGTTTATTTATAAAAGGAGTAAAAAAATGAAAGTATAAAAGTAATGCTAGATATGTATATATACAGAATAAAACATTTCATAGAAAATGCATAGCTATGATATGTATAATAATTTCACAAACAAATTTGAGCTCCATTTATTGAGCATCAAAATATAAGCACTAATATTTTTTTTTTCATACATATCAATAATATAAATAAGTAAAAATTCGTACAACTAAATTATAACCATCTAGTCTGTATAGCATAGCATAGCATAGCTCTCTTCTTTCTACAAGCTAATAGCTAAAATCACTATCAAAGTACTTGTTCCAAAAGTTCATTCAAAAATTTTTCAAGATATATATATGACATTCATCATACAAGATAAATATTTAATCCTACTTAAAATACTAGAAGATAATATACTGGATTAGTTAAATAATGGTAATAATGTAAAAATTGGAAATGTTAGAAAGGAATAAATGAAATATTACAACAATAATTAACAAAGTCCAAATAAGTAAGGAAATCATTTATTGCACATCATTAGACCTGGGACTCTCGATTATTCTTCCTGTATTTTTAAGGTTTAATGGAACGTGGCACATATTTTTTTTCATTCCCATAAACACAGACCTAGCATGAAATTTTGTATCTTTTCAATATAATTTTGTATCTATTTGTAATATTTCAAGATAACAAGAAAGGAATGAAATAACTATAAATTTTGTCGGACAATGTCCCTGTCTAGACGCTTATTTACGCCCTGGTCTGAAGTAACATTTCAATGTGTTCATAATGAAGGATAAGGGTATCAATGCCAAACATAATCAAACTTGACCAGTATCTTCTGTCACATTCAATTTCAAAATCGTGGAATGAATTGTTTTTAACATAAGCTAAACATAAACAAATGAGCGAGAGAAATAACTGGAATACAGTATCAGTATTAAGTTGCCATGGAAAATTTGAATAGTACATTGTATTGTTTTTATAGTCTTAATATAATACATAAACTCAAAAATTCATCAATCTTTCTTTCTGTCTTTTCTTTCACTCTTTATTATCTGGAACCGAGAGAGCCCAAACATTCAATACATACATTCATAGGCACCAAAGTCTTGTGTAGCTTTCATGTATCCTAGATTCTAGATCCTGATTCTGTGTGTCATCTAAAGCACCTTGATTCACAAAGAATCTTGTATTTCATTTATTGCTATGATGTCATATATACTCCATAGAGTATAGTCTTTGCACCACAAGCACATTTCTGATAATCAACCCTTGTCATTGATATTTTCCTCCAAGATTGTTATCAAAAATCACATTCCACTGATATGTTAAATAACTTAACGCAAACACCAAAATTGTCAAATCATATTAATCGTTCAGCTGGCGGCCGTTTTAAAACATTGCCAAGTTCAACTCTAGCACCTGCGGTTTCCTGTTGACTAGGACAATATTGACCTCTAGTTGCTCTTTTATTTCTAGCTGTTATTAAAAATATCACTACACCTTGAAGAGACAAATAAAACAAATCAATTATAAAACCAAGCAATTTTAAGGATAAATTTAGTACATGACACATATAATGTTGAAACTTTGAACTCTGCCAACCATTCTATCTTATACAATATTAGGCCTGTAGTGATCTGTAAAGTGACGTAATTTCTAGATTGTATTCCTATCAGGAGAAGAAAGTTACCTGAGCAACTACCATTCCTAAAGATAGGAGGGAGGGGGCCTTTAAAACATGTTACTTAAGGACTACTATAGTTTTCCTGTAGCATATAATATATTTCTACTGTTTTTAGGATTAACGTAATTTGTACCATTATAAACAAGACTACTTACCAATAATGACTATAATAATGATAATTGCTATAATAGGACCAATAATAACCCAAATATCAATAGAATCATCTACTGGATCTATTGATGGACCCTAAAAATATAACAAATTCAATACATCAATTGTAGAACGATATAGAAATACTACTGTTATAATAGTGCTATTGTAGAGTATATAGAAATATTAAAACAGAAGTTTAGACCTGAAAATAAATTTTATTTATCCAACTTCAGTAGGGACACAGGCTGAAATAGGTGAGTTGTGTGAAGATCTGAGTAACAACATGTACAAGTTCTGTTTTAATATTTATAACAATTATATAATGTAAACAATTTAAAACATACAATGACATTAATGTTGATAAGTTGGTCAGTAACTAAATTGACTATTAACAATTAGATTACTAAATATTCTCAAATTGGATTTGTACTAGATAAGCGCTTTGAAATATCAGCATGAGTTGGAGCCAGTTTAACATAAATATCATACTTACTGCTTTTTCACATAAAACACCTTCATATCCAGTTACACAGTCACATAGACCTTCATATCTATCAGTATCACCTACATATGTTTTATTACATTCTCCACCATTTTCACACTTTAAATTCATACAAGGATTATTATATTCACAATTCTTTCCTAGATATTGCTGAGTACATTTACAGATATAACTACCAACAGTATTTTCACAAGACTGATTATTTTGACATATTTGAATATCATTATCACATTCATTAACATCTACTTCACAAGTTTTACCAGAATACGCTACAATATAAAACAAGTTTATTATTACAATAATCAGTATAAAAATAAAATATTCAAAAATCTAAGTAATGTGTGATGTATGCATTTAATCAAACTTAGTATGTCTCTCTTTACATGTGGTAGTCTTCCTTCACAATAAAAGGGGAAACAAAGTGAATTGATGTTTTAAATTCAGCTCCAGCTTTGCTAATGAAGACCAGCAATGTCTTGTAGTAATTAAGGACCAACTTGCAACGAAAGCAACATTTGTCTTCAATTTCCAACCCGTCACACTGGTAGTAGGCCTACACTGGGTCTCATTGTATATGTCTCTTAAGCAACTTATCATTTAACCTACATCAAACAAACTACCTGCATCCCTTACAATGTGAAAACTTTGTTAAAAGACAGTCACTGGCTAAAGAGTCAACACCAAAAAGACTTCTGAATGCACTGTTCATGGAAGGTGTAAGACTAGACTAAAACCATTTATCTTTAAAAAAATACTTACCATCAGGACAATGGCATTTAAAATCATTCACCAGATCAGTACAAGTACCATTATTCTGACATTTATTCTGACAATCATCAATATTAATAGTACAGTTGGTACCGGTATAACCTAGTGCACAGTCACATATATAAGATCCTACTGTATTATTACATGTTCCTCCATTCTTACACGGTATAGAATCACATTCATTAACATCTTCTGTACAATTCTCTCCTTGCCACCCTATATATAATATAATACATCATCAATTATCAAAAATCTAACTCAGTAGTCCATATAAGCATGTATATTTTTCATTGAATCAGCGAGGCAGCTTCTCTTACTTGTATTGTCACTTACATCTAAATTGACAGTGTGATTTTTTTGACTAACATATTGCCTTCTGGTGTAACTTAAATGTTAACATGTGAAAACAAGAATATTCTAAGCTCATTTTCAGCCATCTGTATCACTTTTCAGCATGAACATCTGACACAAGGCATCACTAACATAAAATGAATAAAAGTTAACTGTCTAGGCTTCCTGGCTCATTGTAATTGTTAATTAATTATTATGTAAATGACTATGAATGTTGATTCTATTATTTTCAGCTATTTCAGTTTACTACCATGGATAGTATTTCAGAGACATCCATAGATAACATATCTAATTATCTTAACCTTTAACTTGCACCTTGTTTTATCATAAATCTTTACTTTGTGACATAGGCCAGTGCTTTTATGAGACTATGTTCTCATCACCATCTAACACTGTAGTATCAATTTCTAACAGAACCTAAAGGAAGACATAATAAATTACCTTGTTTACAATGACAAGTATAAGTGAAATCTGCTTCATTCTGACTACAATAGTTTGTATTACTAGCAGAACAATAATTGTTGGTACATGGTCCAGGCGTTTCACAAAATTTACCTGAAACATACATAATCAAAAACTTTACTTATCATTTCAATTGTTGTTTACTCTATATCAAACAGTAAGAACATATATCGGCAATATTTGCCTTCAAATGGAAATACAGCTATGTTTTGCATTGTTTTTAAAAGTAGTACAATTACCTATTGTCATGGACCTCACCTAAAGACATGCCTAATAACATTCTCAAACTCGTTTGATCAATACAAAATTAATTAGCAATTTCACAGAATTTTGTGCACTCACCATAATAAAATTGCATACAATTACATTTCCATTTGTTGTTGTTGGTAATTGTACATGTACTATTGTTAATACATTGATTATCATCACAGGATGGTTCATTACAATCTGTACCATCATAACCTATTGTACAATTACACTCATAACTTCCTTCTGTATTTGTACAACTAGCACCATTCTGACAGGGCGGTACAGGTAAATTACATTCATCTACTTCATCAGCACAGTTTGAGCCTGAAAAATTGAGATAATAATGATTAATTTTAATTATTATGGGGTTGAAAAACATCAAATAAGATTGCTCCAACCAATTGGTATAGAAAGGGAAACAATAAATTAAATCTAATTTGGTGCCCACATTAACTAAAGATTTCATGGATTATAAACACATTGATTATTTTTGTGTATAGAAGAAAAAAGATAATAAATCTTACCATTATATCCAGTACCAATACAATTACAAATATAAGAACCTGGAGTATCTGTACATGTACCATGTTGACATGGCAACGTTTCATTACATTCATCAATATTGACTTCACAATTTCTACCTTTCCAACCTAAATAAATAGAACAATCTATCATTACAAGAAATAGCTTGATTTACTGTCACAGACTGAAAAATAATGTTCATAGTATATCTCTTTACTTTAACAACTAGTTTAACTTATCTAAGCTAATCAGCACATTGACCTGTGCTGTTTACCAGTTATATTCTGATATCACTTTAACACCAATGATTATTCTTGGTTTGTCATTTTTAAATCATAATAAAGTTGTACAAAATTATTTGCATTATAGATGTCAAAAACTTTATCTGTAGCAAATATAGATATTGGTCCTTTATCAACTAAAATTGTGTGATTTTCAAGTTTCTGGTAATTGTGCAGAATAGTAACCTCTGCCAGCTAAGCTGTTTTTGATTATCATAAATATTTAATGTACTCAAAAGCTGTACTTAACTAAGAGAAGTAGTTCATGTATTTTCAAAAATAAAGACAGTACATAACTTACCTTCAGTACAATTACAATAGTAATCATTGACTAAATCTTCACATATACCATTATTGTTACATACACCAGACAAACAGTCATTTTTATTATTTTCACACTTGAGACCATCAAATCCTACAATAGACATAAGTGAAGTATGCAATTAAAGGGATGCTGAAGCCATTTTTGAATTTGCCCACTTCTGTGTGTTAAAGTAAGTTTCAACCATGTGCTAATTTATTAGATCAATCAACCCAACTTTTTCCTTGAAGTGTAGGACAGACCGTAGCTTGTGTAAGAATGATATTTACTTGATTATTGGTAGTCATAGGTTCTATTCTTGGTCATTGTAAGATCTGAAGGTATTTTTTGGACACATACAGGGGATTGATTTTTGGACCTTCAGGAAAGCGAGCACGCATCTTACTCACTGAGCCACTACACAAACAAGAGAAACCTACCATCAGGACAAGAACAAGTAATGAAGTCAGGTTTTGTTAGATCAACTGAACAGTTTCCACCATTTTGACAAGGAATATCTACACAATTATCAACTACAACTTCACATGTTGAACCTTGATATCCATCCATACATGAACAATTAAAACTTTGACCACCCTAAAAACAAAAAACAAACAAAAAATTTTAAATAAAAAAACAGAAGGCATGTAAAAAATGTTTATCTTTTAATTTAACAAGCTACAAATATGAGTGGTACTGTATTGGATTTTCAGCTGTGTCAATTCCACTCAATGAATTTATCTCCTTGTGAAAAATATTGGTTTTCTATTTTCATGCATTACTAAAACGTAATTATGTAAATAAATTGGACAGTTTTTGCTACTTACCCCAGTTGGTGTTTGAGGGGTACACTGTCCACTGTTTTTACATGGTCCATCTGAACAGTTACTGTTCTTCTACAATAAAATATGGATTTTACATTATTACTAGAAATCTCTTTATTAGACTTATTATAGTGGGTTTTTTTTATTTCAAGTTAAATTCTTTGTGTTTCATATGATAGATTTATTTGTACCATTCTTATTTTCAGTCAGATGTCTGAGGTTCTTGTAATTCTCCTAGACTAAGCAACTTAAAGGATCAATATAACAAAGGGCCTCTGATATCATTAGCAGCATTTTGAAAAAAATCATGTCTTAAAATTTTAGTGGAAATGCAAGGACCACAGAGGTCCGACTAAAAATCAGAATGGTGCAAATCTATGTGATCAGTGTCCCTGATACACATAATAAGTTTACAAAATCTATTTACAATTCCTTTAGATCATAGTTTACTTATTAGATTATATGAAAGTAATAAATCATTAAAACTAAAAACAAGATCAACTAGTACTTACCAAAATATTACAGGTTTTACCAGTCCAACCTTCCGAACAATTACATCCAAAATCATTTTCTACTTCATAGCATGATCCATTATTATCACATGTATCATTAGTACAGAAGTTTACTTCAGTTTGACATCTAACAGGTAATGGTAATAATAAATAATAAGATAGTGTTATTATCACAATAATAGTAGGATGTAGATATGCTTTAGTCTCCATTATGACTATTGTTGCACATCACAAGCACAAAATAAATCCAATCCTTTTGTTAAATGGTTGTGTGTATCCTTGAATGTCTTAAAGTTTTATTTTTCCAGTGGAAATGACTTAAGATTTAAAACCAGTATGTTTGAAAAAAATGGTAACGGTAAACTATGCCACCAAACTAGGGCTATATCACAGTCTTTTTATAAAGTTAATCCCTTTACTGTCTTCACTTTGATGGTACAAGATTTAAAGTTAATCCTAGATTTTAATCCTAGTTGTTAATCTGTGTTTATTTATAATCCTCAGGTTATCCACAATAAGTTCATATTTACGTGTGTTCCCATATTGAAGGTTGAACTATTGTACAGATGAAATCTATAAGTAATTTGAAGAGTGGCTGTTTTGATTGATTGACTATACAAGTAATTAAATCTGACTGTGTTAAATATAAATTTAATTACTAATCAGACTTAACTAACAACTTTGACTAATTAAAATCCTGTAGAACTGTCAAACTGGTAACTAAGGTCAACTTCTTCTCTATGGCAACAATTCAAACTGATAATTCTTATAACCAAAAAACAAACTAATTTGGAAATAGCACAAGGCAATTTTCGACATCTAAATATTAACAACTCTGAACTACGCCATATTTTAACAATTAGACTACAACAGACCTGCCCATACCAGGTTTATCAGTGAAATATTCCAAGAATTTCAATTTATCTCAAAATTAACCTTAAAACAGAAAACCGATTATCTTTACTAAGAATTTCACTGTTAAATACAATCTAGATACAAGCACACAGAAATATAACCCAAATACACTTGTCATAACAATTACATCATATACACTGATTCAATTAATTAAATATAGTAAGGCTATGACACAGGTGTCAAACCCCACAAAGTGACAAAAAAAATCAAATTCAAATACTGCAGAGAAACTGTTTCATCCTGATAAATAGGAAAATTGCAACAAATATGTCAACTACCACAGCTTTTTATTATGCATTTGTCACCTCTTTAAATTATAGATAAGACAAAAATAGAAATGCCTTTAGATGAGTTCATACGAAAGAAGGACAGATATAATAACCAACAACTTTTTGGAATTTTGGATATATATTATTAGAATTTCAGTAGCATATAGATTATTTTTACAAAAATCCTATCATGTCATTTGACATATGCCAACCCTGAACACTCAAAAATATAAAAGAAACCAAAATATTATAACGTCTTTTCTTGACCATCAAATGAGTCAAGATTGATTCCCATATAATACAATATTGGTACTAATATATGAATCATATAGGCATTTGAGCTTTACATAAATCACATCCTTCTACCCTTGCAATTTATTCAGTGTAAATAAAATATTATATGAAATCTTGTTCTATTTCATATCATGATGTCAATTGTTTGACATAATTTATTATCTACATAAAATATATCAAGAACAATAGAATTTATTCTTAACATATTCAACAAGAATACAAATAATATCAAATAAAATATAATTTGGAAATATGCCACTAATAGTTAATACGCAATCTATCCAACTATCTTTTCCATATAATTTCTTGATAACTTTAAGTCGTTAAGTATGTCCTTGTGCTTAAAGTATAAAATGAGCAGCTTTGGACCCTTGGTAACCTATAGCCCCCATCCCAATTCTAAACTGATTACTGAATACTTCTCAGCCAATTTTTTTAATTGAGAGTTGTTGGGCCTCTGACCTATTTGTATTCTGATGTTTGCACATGAGAACGTATTCTGTAAGGATGATAGAACTAAAAACAGTCTGAACCTGTCTTAAATCTATCATCTGATCAACTTGGTCTGTTACTTGCAAAAAGTACATGTATTGAAATTCAGATTGGAGGAAAAAGCTCAGAGGACATGATATCATCATCATAATACTGTTTAACTGTATAAATATAAAATCTGTTTTATGCAAAAAAATCTTAAACAAACAAGACAAGAAGTAAAAAATCAAAAGTTAAAATTAAAGTAAATAAAAAGTTTATATGAAAGTTTATGTAAATTTGGGTGTATATATTATGATATATAATTAGCCTCTCTCAATGTTTTGTTCATCAACCTACAAACTCATGAAAAAATGACTATTTGAAAAGGAAACATTTATAAACATTTATACATTGTATTTGAAACAATGTGAAGTTTGTATAAATTCTACTTTATGCACATATCGATCAAAAACTGGCAAGAATGTGAACTATTCCCAATTCTGATATTCTGGTTAAGTATTTGGGGATAAAAGCCAGAATGAATTATCAAAATTTTTCTTAGGGTGTAGATATACAACTTGTACTTGTATATAGAAGTATTTACTATTTGGACAACCTGTATATTATATTACATTATAGTCCATGTTGTCATTTGATTTGACTTCAACTATATAACTGTCACATCATTTGATTAATAAGATAATAAAATCAACTTTCCCTCTCAAAATTCATATAACTTAGGATTTATTATTATTTACTGTACATATTTTAAACAGATCTAGCCATGTAGACAAACAAAATGTCTGCTTTCAATAAGATTTACATCAAATATACCTCCCTTTCTTATTTCATTTGGTTATATAATAAAAATGACAAAAATCAGAAGTTTGACAAGTCAGTTGTCCAAGTAACAAAACTAGAAATTTGAACCCACATTCAACACACACAAGTTTGTAACGTCAGTTGCTCAAGAGTCATCAATATGTCAGTTCTTCAAATCTAAGTTGTTTAAGTTACAACATCAAGAAGATGTGTCAGTTCTCTAACTACAACACTCAGAAGTTTGATATGTCAGTTCTCTAACTACAACACTCAGAAGTTTGATATGTCAGTTGTTCAACTACAACACTCAGAAGTTTGATATGTCAGTTCTCTAACTACAACACTCAGAAGTTTGATATGTCAGTTGTTCAACAACAACTCTCAGAAGTTTGATATGTCAGTTCTCTAACTACAACACTCAGAAGTTTGATATGTCAGTTCTCAACAACAACTCTCAGAAGTTTGATATGTCAGTTGTTCAACAACAACTCTCAGGAGTTTGATATGTCAGTTCTCTAACTACAACACTCAGAAGTTTGATATGTCAGTTCTCTAACTACAACACTCAGAAGTTTGATATGTCAGTTCTCTAACTACCACTCAGAAGTTTGATATGTCAGTTGTTCAACAACAACTCTCAGAAGTTTGATATGTCAGTTCTCTAACTACAACACTCAGAAGTTTGATATGACAGTTCTTCAACAACAAAACACAAATGTCCGTTCCTGAAGAAACAACAATAAGAAGTTTGATATTAGTGTTGTATTAGGGGTGATACTTGACTCTCAGAGAACTGGGACAGGCATCAGAAGTTTGATATGTCAGTAACAGATATCAGATATCAAGATGTTTTATTTCAAATCTTGACTTTCTTGTAAATTATAAAGTTACTATATAAAACAGACTGAAATCAAAAAGTCAAGTTAAAGGATTTAACCATGTATCTAATACAATCAATATAAGTTACCCCAAGATTAACATCATATATAAACATTATAACAAGTTGAGGTATAAGACAACATAATTCTTAAAATCAATGACTAGGTTATATTAAATGTATGCTGATTGTCAACAATAACACCGAATTACTTTACTGAGTTCACATTCCTATTAACAGAAAAATGATTCAGATTGGACGAATGTTTGCATGGATATGGATTTTCAAAATACCAAGTACAATCAATAGGAAAATACCTACGTTTATATTGTTTCAGCCCAAAAAAAGACTAATTTTCAAGCTAGGCCAAAGGATATTAAATACCTATAATATACTATAAGGTGGTATTAACATGATTACTTCAAAACTAGTATCATTTAACTTTAAATTCAGAAAATTCGAATCTATCAATTAATTTTCTTTAGGCTCAGTGTTTCACATTAAACATAATCAGGAAACTGTTTCAGCCTGTTTCCCTACTCAATACTGAGATTCAACAAGTAAAACCTGCTTCTTAGTCAATTTCAGATCTTATGGAGTATTAATACTTTTTTTTTTTATCTTAACCCGTGTCTTTTGGTGCTTGAAGTTAAAATTTTAGGGGAAAAAAAATACTATACTTTAACAATAATTTCGGTAATTTCTAGAGAACTGATTTATAAATAGATATTTCTGCCTTCATTAGGCTTATGTCACCTATCTTTTTATCAATAAGTTTAGGCCATGTTCTATTCTTATTAGTTTATCAATATACGGAACAAAATATTTAATTCATATTCTGCGTTACAATCAAGTATTTATCATATACTTAAAGGACACCATAATTGATATAAAAATATATTGATTTAAGTTACGTTACCTTACCTCATGATATTTGTACAATAATTTGTAAAACAATTGTTTTTTGGTGACCTGAACCTGTTAATGTAGAATTTTTGATGAAAAAATTTGATGTCATATCATTGCTGACTGCCCTTTAAATCATGAATTCTTAAGAACGAATTGCAAAAATTACAAGTTATTTTATATCTAAATCAAATCTGGTAATATATTTGGAAGGATTTGGAACTGATATCAATGATTTAGTAATGTTATGGGTCAATCCCTGCAAATAGCAGTACAACACTTGTTCCATATTTCAAAAGGAAAAATTTTAATGGAAAAATATCGTTCTGAAAAAGGGACAATTACTCCTTCATATTTCAAGTTCATTAACCATGAACAAGGTACTTGTACCCAAATGACTATCTAATCATTCTGACCATCCTATATCCTCTAGGGCAATTTACATGTAAACAATTACTGACCATATTACTCAAATAACAATGATATAATACCCCATCACATACGGCTACAGTATCCCTTTCACAGATCATCATAAAACACTTTCAAATTACATTTTTCATCATTTTTTTTCACTATCACCATTATATTGGATTAACACATGATCACAACTATTTCAAATGAAAATCAACACAACTTTGTTACTTCCATTAACTTCTTGACGTTGTTTGAAATCACAGAATTAAAACATATTAACCAATTACCATAACAAACATAAGCAGACGGAAATCTAAATAATCACAAACTGTTGAAACCGGGTGAGAAACCAAGTTCTAATCCTATAACAAACTGAATCTTACAGTTATTTGATACTATTAATAGGTACAGCCAATGTCCTAGGTAGAGTTGAGAATGACAGTCGACACTACTACCTGTCTGTAGCTAACAGTTAAATCTACAGGTAAACTAGGCCACTTCACTCTCCTAAATTACTCTTTCTAACATGTCTGGGTGGACTCCAATCTTAAACCACTCTCTTATCTATGGAGTGTACC